CCGCGGCCGCACGTCGGCCAGGACGGCGGTGGCTCCCTCAGCAGCGCTGCGGCGACGCCGAGGCCAAAGCCGTTGCCCCTCTTCGCTGCGGGAGGCGCCGCGGCATCAGCTAGCGCACCGGGGAACGATGATGGCCATAGGACAGCGGAGAAAACCGCAGATGTTGAAGAGGAGCTCGTCGATGCCTGCGCGCTTCAACGTCGTCTGCAGCGCAAGCTGGCCACCTCTACAATTCGCACGGCGTCAACCTCGGCGTTAGATTTGTCTCTCTGCAACGGCCCGGCTGCGCAGAATAATGGAAGCGTCTCATTCACTCTCTCTGATTGTGACGCAGCAGTCATGGCTCCCGGCGATTCTTCGCATTTCATTGCGGCAGGCGGATGCGTGGGTCTGAACTTGGAGGCGGCAAGCGGCACAGCAACGCCGGTAAGCGGCTTGAGGCTGCAGAACGCCGCACACAACCGTACCATCTCTCAAGACTTCGCCAAGTTCTGTGCAATGGGCGCGGAGCGAGTGGGAAACGAATCGGGGCAGTACATCACCGTGCTCATACCGAACTCTACTCCTGTAGCGCGGGCATTGGCAAACATGCAACCACAGGGACTCCAGCAACATCAATACCATCATTCACGTGAGAAGTCCTGTTCTCACTCTGGCTATTCTACCGCAATGCCGCTAACAGGAAACCGAACTTCTGTCCTGTTCACGCCTGGTGAAAAGGATGTATGCTGTGGGGTTACAGGTGCCATCTCTGAGGGCATCCTTGTGAAGTCCCAAACGCATTCACCGCAGTTTTCTTTTGATCTTGACACCCACAACACATCGGAGGCGAGTATTCTCTGTCCCGTTCCAGAGGGTGACGAAAATGTTTGCTTTGTTTTCGAGGGACACTCGGAGCCTATAGACGTGTTCCTGTCGTATCTCTCCCCCGTCCATTACAACGCCCTGGGACTGGCGGAAGATCGCCTCCCATCAAATAGCGATCAGCAACAAGAGCTGCAACAGCAGCCTTGTGGAACTATATTACACACAAGAAGTTCTTCTACTCTCGACCATGATGTGTCTCTGCCGTTCCTTAAAAAAGCAACTTCCGACACTTCGTTGCAGCGGTTCGCAACTGCCGCCAGTGGTCATCTGCGCCGTGCACTAAGTCGAGGGGAGAAGAAAGAAGAAGGAGTGGAACATCAAGAGAAATGTTTAGGGGGTGATGGGTGTGTGTAGTGGTGGAGTACGTAAGTGAAGGTTTCAGTTGCGCCTCTAAGCCCCAGCACACCTACAGAGGACATTTTTATTGATTTGTATATAAATATATATATATATATTTATTTATTTATTTATTTATATATATTTTTTTTATTATTCATTGTCGTTGTAGTCGTCCTCAGAGCACTATGCATATTGAGAGTTGTTATTTCTGCTGTGCGCTTACCGTGCACACACACACACACACACACACACACCTACGCACCTTTCCTGGAGGGGATTCCCTGTACGCAACTGTGTGCGTCTAGTTGTCTGCGGTCTGCTTCTTCTTCTTCTTCTTCGACTTGCACCTGCTGCTTTTGGGCCACTGCGCTTACGCAAACACACATCAACACATGCAACCACCAGTAGTGTAGAAGGGTCCTCGTGTGTGTGTGTGTGTGTGTGTGTGTGAAGGAGGTACAGAAGGAGGGGGATCTCTCGCACACATCATTTGTAGCGAGTAAATAGAGTGGGCTTTGCGTAGCGCGGCTTTGTTTCTCTCTGCGTGTGTGTGGGCGTGAGAAAAAGAGGGAGAGCGAGCGAGCGGGAGAGAGAAAGGGAGATTGCTTCTGAGCCGAGACGCGGGGCGCGGCAATGGGGCAGTCCAAGACAAAACTGCACATCGTCACGTGTGGCCTCGACAACAGCGGAAAGACGACGATCATCAACCAGCTGAAGCCGACGGCGCTGCGGAGCGAGCACATCTCCGCCACCGTGGGGTACAACGTGGAGACGTTCGAGAAGGGTAGGGCGAAGTTCACTGTGTTCGACATGGGCGGCGCGAAGAAGTTTCGTGGCCTGTGGGAGAGCTACTACGAGAACATTAATGGCGTCATCTTCGTCGTAGACAGCAGCGATGAGCTGCGGATGTGTGTCGTGAAGGAGGAGATCGAGCTGATGCTGCAGCACCCCGACATTGCGCGGGAGCTGCCGGGCCGAAAGGGAGCAAAGATACCGTTCCTGATCTACGCAAACAAGATGGACCTGCCGAACGCCAAGTCGGCAGCGGAGCTCGTCGATATGCTCGAGCTCACCACCCTCATGGCGGACAGGCCGTTCAACATATTCGCTTCCAATGCGGTGAAGGGGACGGGCGTCAGTGACGGCTTCGACTGGCTGCAAAGGATGTTGCTGCAGCAGAACAGCAGCGGCGGCGGTAAAGCCTCGGGAAAGAGGAAATAATGCCCGTCTCAGCCGCACATACACACACACACACACACATATATATATATAAGCAGTCCTGTTGTGTCGTCGTTGTGTGCGTTTGCGGCTTCTTGTGAGGGGTGCGGAGGGTGGATTGGTGAGGAATGGGAAGCAGCCACGCTGTATGCATGGGCACTCGGCGCGATGGCTGTTGCACGTGCTGGGCATAAGAGGACCAAGCGAATGTGAGGAGTATGAAAAAGAAGGTGAGGGGAAACGACACAGTTGCAGTGCGTTTTCTTTTTGGTGGTGGTGAATTGCCAGACACATGTTGTGGCATTTGGCCCATGTGTATATGCCCATGCCTGGTGTGTAGGAGTAGCAGTAGCATCCCCTTCCACGTGTGCCCCTTTTTTGTGTGTTGTATCAGTGTCTTTGGTTTGGCTTGGCAGCAGCGGCTGTGAACAGATTTATATTACCTTCATCCGTATTGCTCTTTGTATCACTGTCTCTTTCTCTATCGTTTGATTTCATGCCGTTGCATTGGCATTTTTTTTTGGGGGGGGGGGAGGGGAGAGAGAGAGAGAGTGAGAGAGAGGGAGTATGGAAATGGGAGCGGTAGGAGAAGAAGGTGGAGAAGCGCCGTGTCGTTTGAAGAATGGGTTTATCCTGTGTATGTGTATGCGCTTTATATAACTATATATATATATATATATACCTACATGCATATATGCGTAGAAGGCCCTCGGATCTTTCCTTCATGCTCCTTTCTACTTTATTTGTTTTTGTCTCGTTTTTGCTTCTCATTGCTCCTGTTCTATTCCTTCGTGTCTACTCGCCGCAGCTGTAGTCGTCCTTAACTGAAACGTGTGTGTTGAGGCATTCAGGAAGAGGGCCATGACGAACACTAAAGGCGCCAAGAACAAGAAGACGTCAAAGGGGCAGGTGGAGCAGCAGCAGCAGCAGCAGCAGCAGGGCAAAAAGGCCGCAGGGGAGGCAAATGGGGGCGCCGATGTGCCGCACCCATTTCTGGGTCGTGAGTTGCGCGTGGAGCTGACGGACCGCCGCGTTATCGCTGGGACTCTGATTGCGTTCATGGGCCACGGTGACTTGCTGCTGCAGAATGCGGTGGAGCAGCGCTGCTACGCCGATGGGGAGGTGAGTTGTCGGCCACTCACCTTAGTGGCTGTCCCTTTCCAGCATGTGATGGCGATGCACCGGCGACTACCTGGCTGCGACCCCATCGCGCTCGCGGAGGGCTGACGAGGAGGAGGAGGAGGTACTGGCCGCCTGTGAGCCGCTATGCCCTTAGAGCGGAACGGAGAGAAAGAGAGAGAGAGAGCGTGTGGGTGTGGGTGTGCATGTTCGTGGCCGGGGGTGGCACTGCGGATACACGGTAGCAAGAAGGCGGCAATGACGGTGGCGGTGGATGCCGCATCTGCTGTCGTGTGCCGAGCAGCGAGAGCGACAGAGAGAGAGA